CATCTCACCCCAAAACAGCAGGATATACATTTTTTTCAAGTTCACTGTTTACAATAGCAAAGATAGGAAAACAATCTAAGTGCCCATCGTTGGACAATTGGATAAAGATGTGATACATATATACAATGGAATTTTACCTGGCCACGAAAAAGAATGAAATCTTAACCATTTGTAACAGTATGGATAAACCTAGAAAGTATCATGGCAAATGATGTAAGTCAGAGAAAGACAAGTACCATGTGATTTCACTTATATGCAGAATCTAAAGAACAAAATAAATGAACAAACAGGATGAAACAGGCTAATAGATACAGAGAACAAACTGATGATTGCCAGATGGGAGGAGGACTGCTGGGAGACTGGGAAAAAATATGAAGGGATTAAGAAGTAGAAATTCGTAGTTACAAAATAGCCATTGCGATGTAAAATACAGCATAGGGAAAATAGACAATAATATTGTAATATCTATGAATGGTGCCAGGTAGCTACAAGACTAACTACTATACTGTATACCTGAAACTAATATAAAATAATATTGAATGTCACTGATATTTAAACATTTTTAAAAAGAAAATAAAGCTGGTTATATTCATCTAATCTGTATCTAGTGCTTTTGATTAAGGCCTCAAGAAAATTATATGTTAAGTATTGTGGGGGAAAAAGGGGTTCTATGGAAAGTAACCTCACAGAGTGATCTAATCATAAGTTTCTAACTGGGCAGGACACGGTGGGTAGTCATACCCTAGACATATAATTTTTTAGTAGGGCTTATTTTGCCTTAAGTAAGCCCTCTTCATTGTTTATGTGTATCTAGGTTAACATACCTTTAAAATTCCCCTTCTTAGACCCATTCTTCTAAAGCATAATCACCCTCAAGAGAGCACATCATCTTTTTTTTTTTTTTGAGAGGATATATCCTGAAATCCAATTGCTGTTTTGCTTAAAAGAAACTGCAAAACTGTTATTCTCTGGGGCCTATATCTTGCTGTCTAGCATATTTTTATCAGTTTAATAAAAAAAAAAAACCCTTAAAACAGGTTTGAAATTTTGTTCTTATTTACTTAATGCAGTGCAGTAGGATTCTGAGAAGTCCACCCAGGACTACCCTGCAGGTCCAGACCTGATGTTAGGTATGAGTGAGAGCCCACTGTGCCCCACCTGCTCCCCAGTTTGCATTGGCTGAATTTGGATGAATCTTTTCTTGGAATTGTGGGTAACCTTGCTTAAAGTAGCAGGCCATGACTTTATTTAAATTGTTCTTAGAAAATCTTCCAGGTGGATAAATACTGAGATAACCAGGAGAAAGGGGAAAAATGGTTTTCTACTTTTCATTAGAGCCTTTTAATTGGATTGCTTGCTGAGAGACTAAACAAAATGTTTGCTGGTTAAATGAAAGACTCAACTATCTTTAACTCTGAAAGAGAAAGAACTTCTCCAGCTCAAATGGCCAATAGGGTGGTGACAGTTGTTTCAATCCTTGAATATGGAGTGGTGGAAATGGGCACCACAAGGCATCCGGTGCGGTAGCGCAGGCAATCCTGGATAAGCTGTCAGAGCCTAGAGAGAAGGGCAGGGACTCCTGGAATGGGTTCACTCTGAGAGTGAGCCTTGGAAAGCATCATTGTTCTGGTGGCATCTGGTAAGTTATTGCTTTCCCTTTCTCATATATTCGTAGGTGACTAAGGTTCTTTGTGGGGTTGCCTGAGGAAAAACTTCCTCTAGGGTGTGAAGTGGTTCTATAGGGACATTCATGACATTAGGCTCACCTGGAGACATGCATGCAAAGGCTAGTTTTCCCCAAAAGTTTGTTCAGACTCTACACACCTCAAAATTAACATGAGGAATTGTGCCTCCAAAGCATCAACCCCACAACTGTCAGTCTCCAATTAATACTAAGATGACCAAGATGAAGATCCTCTGAGACTTCTAAATTAATCTTTTGGACACATGATTAGAAAAAGACAGGTAAATAAAAAGAAAAAGGAAAAAAAATGCCAGCTATAAATTTTGTGAAATGAATGGAAAACATTTAATTGGCCTCTCACACCTTCAAAATGATTTATTTTTTAAAAAAAGATTTTTATTGATTTATTCTTAGAGAGAGGGGAAGGGAAGGAGAAAGAGAGGGACAGAAACCTCAATGCAAGAGAGAGACATCAGTTGGTCTGACGGGGACTGAACCTCTCCCTCCCCCTCCTCACACATAACCCAGGCATGTGTCCTGACTGGGAATCAAACCAGTGAGCTTTTGCTTTGTGGGACAATGGCCAACCAACTGAGCCATACCGGTCAGGACCCAGAAGGAGGATTTAGATAAATGGATCAACCTATGATGTCATTTAGGTGTCAACCCAATTTTTTTGGTATTAAAAATGGCTGTTCTTATTTTAAAGGGGAAGTTCATTTGCAAACTGACTTGTCAAGGCAAAACTTTTTCAATCCCTGGAGTATTGGCCTTAAAGACTTTGGCAGGAATATGTATATAGTGTGTGTGTGTGTGTGTGATAATTTTCAATCTCTGCATGGCATTATTAAAATTAATTTCAAGACAAGCACTTATAAGGATTGGGTATTCTAAAATTCTCAGAAATATGGAAACTAACTAAAATACTTTTCAAGTTCACATGATCTAAGGTTAATCCTTAGTAAATAAAAGCTAGTTTAAGTTTGTTAGTTTAAATAGAACAGACATGTCTTTGAGTTATTGATATTAAATATAATGTTTACATTTTACCTGGGTTTTACAAAAATAAGTTCATATTAATAATTTACTTTGATTTCTATGAAATATATTTTTAGAGGTTATAAAATGAAAATGTCATGGAAAGCATTGTAAAATAAGTGATGAAAAAACTCCTAGGGTATATTATATGGGTAAATAATGGGTGTAGATTAAGCCAATAGCTGGGTCTATGGGAAACCCAAGATGGTGCCTTGGTTCTTCCCATCTCCCTGACATCATCACAGTACATGTAAGCTGAACTTAGGTGAAGGAATTTATGAGCTGATGTTTTAAAAGGAGACATCTTATACTATTGACAAGGTTTGTTAAAGCCACTTCAGGAAAACGCCAAATAAGTAATCGCTTCCTTTCACAGCGAGCTCCTAGAAGACAAGGACTTTAAAGATCATTGACTGCCCCCTGGAGATTTGGGGAATTTCGATAGTACATCTCTCTAATCTTGTTGGAAGGGACTTTATCAGGGGCCTAACCAAGAATGGATATCTACCCCTGTCTCCAACACTCACCTCCACCTACAATGGTCATCAAAGATTCTGCTGGATGAGAAGCTGCTGACATCAGGTAGGTGGCTAAGGCATCAACAAGGCCTGTATACCTCTGGATTGCTATGGAACTCAGGAATCCATTTTGTCTGCTAATGAAATTAGTTATAATAATAATCACATTTGTCCTTTGGATTTTTCTATATAGTTCAACTGTTTATGATTAATTATATAAAAGAATTGTTAATACTCTCTTAATGGCTTAAGTATGCTATACTAAATGCCAAATATGGAAAAGTAAGACTGATGGTAAAATTTGGATCATGATCATTCAAAGGATAGAAATGATCCAGAGTGTTTTTTTCCCCCAGTGAGTGCCAAAATACTTGGCTGCCTTCTATTTACCTGTTCTTCCCTTTTTGGGGAAAATTCAACCTCAACAGATATCCCACGGTTACTGCCCTATCCTCAATGGCTCACTGTTTCAACAAGATGATCTTGATACTGAAACTTCCTAGGAATGAGCCTTCTTAGTTCTGTGAGATCACACTAATCCGACCAAAAGGTTGATCATTAGTGCATCCTTCAAACTGATTTATGACCAAAAGGGGGACTTGTGGACAAACCAAATTTAATTACATCTGTACGTATGGGAACCCCACATACATGAGTCAAAAACCTATTGAGAACTTTCTATTCAACTCTTTCTATAACTCATTCTGATGCATTTCATGATTGCAACACCTGGGCTAAGTAAACCAGAATTACTGGTACTTAATTAATACTGATGACTTTTTTTAAAGGTATGACCAATTTTTCCATTACCACCCCCAACACTCTTCCCAAATTATCCAATCAAAGCCCAGATACCATGATATTCTAACACTCCCCTTGGTTTCCCAGCTGTGTGTTCTCCTTTGCTACAATTAATAATAAAAGAAACTTTTTCAATTCTGGTATATTAGCCTTAAAGACTTGGACAGGACCAAAAGACCTATCAACTAATGGCAATAGATTAATTTTATTTTGGTCCTGACTTGAATAAATGAACACGAGAAAAACAAATATTTACTAAAATGAGAAATTTGAACACTAAATATTTGAGCAATAACTTTTGAAATGGTGATAATGGTATTGTGGTCAGGTTTTTGCTTTTAAAGAATAGTTATTTTTTAGAAGAACATGCTTAAACATCAATAGGTGTGATGATGTGATGTCTGATATTTGCTTCCCTAGGGGGAGAATTAGAATTATGGACAATCAAGATCGTCAGAATGCAGCAATTGTTAAAGGTCATCATTGGGTAATGTAATTATGATGTGTTTGAATATGATTGAAAATTTCCAAAGACCTTCTTAAAAAAATTCTTTCACGAGGGAGAAAAATTATAAGATCAAATGTATGTCCACAGCAAGTTATCTCAAAAGAGTTATGCATTCCACTTATGAGAGCCAGGGCTTTCTCTTTTCTTTCGTACACCTTAATACTGTTTAGTAGGTTCAGTAGGCGTTCCTAAGTGTCTCGGGCAGATAAACGTCTGAATTAATGCAACTGTACTTAGAACCCAGGCGGGCCCGGAGCTACAGTTAACTGGCTACTCGGACATCCCACCGGCTGCTCCTTTCCTTTCGCAGTTCTCTGTCTCCAACCCAGACACTCCGCACACACCCAAGATGGTGGGTCAGGACAGCGAAATGTCATTCTTCCTCCCTGAGCATGCGCAGGCTCTAGGGCTGCGCAGGCGCTTTCCTGCCTCCCTCCCCGACCTTGGCGGATTGCGCCTGCGCTGTGGGGAGCAGCTCGGCTCCTGCTCGGCCTTGGGCTGGCCGCAGTCTCAGTTTGAGTGCGACTGACGAGGCTCGGTTGGATAAGATGAGGCTTTTGCTACTGCTCCTGGTGGCGGCGTCGGCGTTGGTCCGGAGCGATGCCTCGGCCAACCTGGGCAGCGTGCCTAGCAAGAGATTAAAGATGCAGTACGCCACGGGGCCGCTGCTCAAGTTCCAGATTTGGTGAGTCAGTGTGCTGCGCCCCGGTTGCCCCGCGGCGCCTCCGCTTCATGCCTCTCGGTACGCCGAGGCCCAGCTTCGCGGCCTAGCGGGATGGACCTTCCCCTGCCCGGAAGAACGGCGCCAGCAGCCTTCCGCAGTCTGTGTTCTCCCGGTCGCTTTCCCGGATGGCCAGGCTTCCCTCTTTTCCTCAACGAACATCTGCTCGCTTCTTTTTTTGCGTCCTAGAATGGTGGGAATGGGTAAAGGGAGGGCATGAGAAGGTTAAATACTGAAAGGCGAGGACGTGGGGACACTTGTTAGTGCGGAGGACTGATCGGCGGTGTCACGCCATGGCTTCCCCTGCTACCTACGAAGCTGGGCGTGAGTTGGCGCAGCCTTGGTGGAGGGGCTCCCAGCGTTTGCCACCCAGTTCACTTTTTCTCTCCCCTTTCCGAGGGTTATGCCAGGCAGCCGAGTCACTACCCCGCCAGGTGAGGGTTAATTCGGGTCATTGAAGGGGACCCGCGAGTGATAGACACCTTTTTCTCCAGGAGGTGCCTGCCTGGTGACTGAGTGAGGGAGTAGGCTCCTGACAGCCCGAGGGCGTGGAGAGGGCTGGGGAGGCTGAATCTCAATTTGCAGTTTCCAAAGTGTGTTTGAAAAAGGAGTATATTGCTATCCTGCCAACCGTTCCCTCGGAGACAAGTGGATCGTCTCCCCCTTTCTCTCTACACCCACCTCCCGGGGGTTATCTGCCCTGGCGTCTCTTTCTACCTTTCAGATTTCCTCTTGCGCGTTCAGAGAAATAGAAAAAGGAAATTCCATTAGTTTTCGACTTTGTACTTTAAGTGATTTTGTTGTTACCTAGTTAAGCATTAGAACAGTAATGCATTGTAATAAGGTAAATGGGCTTGGGGAGGGTTGGAAAGACTCATTTAAAATGAACATGGCAAAATGGCAGAAATTAGAATTATGTATTGCAAAAGGTGACTTTTTTTTAAAGAAAGGATGATCAAATTAGTAAATCATCAGAGTACTGATACTTTGGAATATTGGTGTTGGCCAGAATGCATTTAAAATAAGCTTTTTCAAACTTCATGTATTAACGTTAAGGGTACCAAAAGTTTAGACTTTGTACTTACCAGACTAGCTTTTTGCTTAATCTTTAAAGACTAAGCAACTTAAAAAAAAAACAAAAAACAGTAAGAGACCTTTAAGAGTCAGAAAATAAGATGGTGAGACTTTATTTTTTGAGTGAAAACTAAAAACCTTGAGATTTTTGTGATTAAAAGAGCTGTGTACTGTTTACTATGATATATACCTGATATATATCATCTTTCATATTATAGTGCAAATGGGAGCTAGGGCTTGGCCATTTTAATTTATTTTTTAATAAGCTGGCAGTCATATTAGGAACCTATAAATACTGTAGTATTCTTAAGGTTTAAATGTGATACTTTTGGATTCAAGTAGTTTAAAAAAGACTGCAATTTCCATATTTTGTAATTTTTCTATTTTCTACCTTTGTATCTCTTGGCTTCACATGTGGTTTTCACAAAATACTCTTCTTTTATAGTTGCTTGTATTGGAGTACTTGTCACAATAACATGTGTACCTTCCACTAAGGGTATTCATAACAAAGTATTTAAATGTGTAAAACAAATGTAGGGAAGAGCATTTAGTCTTCCAGATTAAACTTAAAAAAAATCCTAAGTACTGTATTGCAGTTGAACTTTTAATGTTTAGTTTTTCTTTTTCTTCCTCCTTCCTTCCCTCCCTCCTTCTGTCTCTCTCTCTCCCCCTTCCCTCTCTCTTCCCCCTTCTCCCTTCCCTTCCCCTTCCCCTTCCCCTCCTCTTCCCTCCCTCCCTCTCTCTCTCAACACACTTGTCCCAAAAGCCTATAAGAATTTTCTTTTTTATTCACCCTGAGCGTGGTAGTGTGTACAGAAGTGCTTTAGTTTTCCTTTTTCCTTTTTAAAGAGATTTCATTTATTTATTTTTAGAGAGAAGGGGAGGGAGGGAGAGAAACAATGTGTGGTTGCCTCTCATGCGCCCCCCTAGTGGGGACCTGGCCTGCAGCACAGGCATGTGTCCTGACTGGGAATAGAACCAGAAACCGTTTGCTTCATAGGCCGCCACTGAGTTCACTGAGCCACAGCAGCCAGGGCTTGCTTTCTTTTTTTAGTTTGGAGATGAGAAATAACTTTACTAATAGCCCTACCAAATACAAGTAAATTTAGCTTGTTTGTTACTTTTTCCCTGTAGGGATTAATTTGTATGCAGTAAGGTAAATATTGGGTTTCTGGTTTTGGTAGAAACTCTTGGACATTTATTTGCAAGATTGGGAATGGAGAGGAAGCTAAGACAATTGGGGATAAATATGTGAAAGTTTTTTTTAATTCTATTTGAAATCTGAGTTCTGTAAAATGCAGTTTTTCATTAATTATCACTGTTTACAAAGATGGTACTATTTTTACTTTCTTTCAATTCTTTTGTCACTTATTTTATATTTCTTACGACTACTATAGCTTAATAGATCATCTGATATTGTGCCACTTTTGTAATTGCTAATAGAACAAACAAGTAACACACAAATGGAATTGAAGGTGGAGGGATCAGGTGTGCAAAATAGCTTAAAACAAACTTGATTATTCTACATTTGTGTAAAAATATTCATCCAATACTTGCTTGTGCCACGGACTAAAGATAAGATGGTGAACAAGATAGATATGGCTCCTCATGAAGCTTACAAAAATGGCATGGTGTTACTTTACATACCTGAATGTTTGGTTTATTATGTCAGTTGATTGAGCAGTCCAATTGGGTAATTTTGAGGATGCTGATTTCCTATTTGGGGAAAAAGTTTATCCTGCTTATTTGGATGTTTAAACATTGAACATAAAAAGGAAGTTCTCTAATCAGAACTTAAAGTTCTATTCTCACATTTTCCTTTGTTGTTATTTTTATGTGTAACTGTATTCTGACAGGTACTGTTTGGCATGGTTTGTATGCATACTTTAATTTTCCCACATATGTGAATTAACATGTAATCAGACCTATAGTATTTAATTAGTTGTTGCAGTTTAAACTACAATTAATAGTTATTTGAACATGTGACAGTTGATTTACTGAGAATGGTAGATAAAATAAAGATTTAATAACAAGCAGAATATAGCGGAGCTTTCCAATATTTGTTAATTTAAGAATCCACTGCTGTATTATTAGGACAACCAAATTACAAGTAGAGTTTTAAGACATAAATGAAGCTATTTCTACTAAAAGGAAAGAGTTCATTTAAATTTATACCAGCTCAGCTTTTGTTTTGTGGTATGAAGGCAAGAAAATAAAGACTGATTTGGATGTTGATGTTTGATCAAATAGTAAAATGCTGAATTGAAGAAAGCTGAGCAGTTGTGAGTTTTAGAGATCATGTTAGTTTCTGTGGTCTTAACAGTTGCATGTTCAACAGATATTTGAGCATCTGCTCTGTGCAGGCACTTTGGTGCTGGGAATTCAGTTAAGTGCTGTCATAGATGTTATAGGCAAAGTGAAAAACAGTCATTAATCTGTGGACAACACATTTAAATTACAGTTCTGTTAAATTCTGTGAGGGGAAGTTATGTGGCATGAGAGAGGCTTAGGAGAACAGAGAAGGTTTCCATAAGGATATGAATTTTGAACTGATATTTGAAGGGTAAAATTTATTTAGATAGAGCTTTCAAGTAATGGGAATAACATGTTTAGTGGCCTCATAAGTGAGAGAGAACATGACTTCTTAAGGAGGCCAAGGTGGCGTGGACGCTGGACGGTTTGTTAGGCCCTGTTAAGGAAAGATCAGCTAGGATCTCTGTGGAAAAAGCTTTCCAGGGGCCAAAGAGTAGATGTGGGGAGAGCCTGTAGGGGAACTGTTGCAATTGCCCAGGCAAGAGGTGATGGATCTTGGAATAGAAAGGTGGTAGTAGAAGTAGAGAGTAAAGGGGATAGAGATCTTTAGGAGATAAAGTTGGCGGTTCTTGATGATGGATTACATATTTGAGGAGGAGAGAAATGTCAGATGACTCCTGAATTCTGGAGCAATGCTGCACCATTCACTGGGATGATAAAGGAGACAGATTTTATGTTTTTTGTGTGTGTGTGTGTGGTGCAGGGGAGGGAAATGGAGTAATCCTGAATTTTTAAGACTAAAAACACAGTAGCCAGGGGAAAATCCTACAAAATAATTTCATTTCTCCCATATATCCACAGTAACTGAAACTAAAAACTTAAATAACAGTTACTGTGTTTCACCAAACTTAAGATATGTAAAATACACCATTATTTTGTATACTACCCAGAAGAAAAAAATACTGCCATTTAAATTGTGACACACTAATGATTATAAGATAAATCCTTATTTTTTTAAAAGATGCTAAATAGAGGGAACATACTTGGAATCAATGAAACAATGAGCAGTAAGTTGATCCAGATAGTAGAGTAATACAGTGTTAAGAGAGAACAAATAAAATGGTGGCTACTACAACTACCAACCACTACATTAGATTTTTGAAGTTCTGTAATATTTACATGGAATTTTAATGCCATTTTGTTTTGTTTTACCATTTTAAACAACAAGTAATTGTAGCATGTAAATGAATACTATGTAATAGTTGTTTCTACTTAATAATGAACGAAGTACTTTAGTTCAAAGCTTTTAGATGTAGGTAATGTAGTTAAAGGTTTTAATCTCTTACAGAAAATTGAAATTTGTTTATTTACAGTCTGCCATTACAGTAAGTGGTAGAATTCAAATTGAATATATCATTTAAAAATGCCAGTATAACCTCATAAATTTTGAATTAGGATAATTACTGGGAAATTGTGCATTTACTGGATAGCAGTTTGGAGTCCCAGGTTCTTACTTGATCTGCCTCTTACCTTTTGAATGACTTTCAGGAAAATAATTTCTTTAGCTTCAACTTGTTCACCTGTAAAACAGGATGTTGGTTGCATTCCAATTACTTCTAGTATACAATTCTATTGTA